GTTTCTTGAGGAACTTACTGGGAGTGATCATAACAGGAACCTGTAGTTAATGATATGTTGTCGTTATTATGGTAGCTGAAACTTAAGTTTCTGAACAACAAGCCAGCATTTCTGGCCGTGAGTAGTTCTTGAGGTCAGGTCCACCAGGCCTGTACGGTGATTACATTACGGTGATTACATTAACGGAACTTGGCGCAATGAACTTTTGCTTGACTTTGATTTGGGCTCTCCAGATAACAAAGAGTCACACAACTCTGCCAGGAGTTCAGGATTTACGGTTTACCCAGAGGCCCCAGGGTTGTTCCTTTTGGGGAATACCTTATCGGATTCTGTACATGAACCCCAAAAAGGAGCTACGTTGGGGCCTCTGGATCGGGCCTAGGGTTCGGCCAACCACCTCGACCTCAAGGACGAAATGAACCCTAAAAGGGTTTAAGGTTCATAGACCATATAGGGATTCATACTATATGGGTATAGGTTGGGTACGGCCCCCATACAGTAACCGTCTATAATAGGGCTACTATTAAGGGCCTTAAAAATCTATATCATGAATATTATCCAACTGTTACTGAGTGGGGGGCGTACCCAAGGTATAAGGCCTCTACTTTTAAGGGTCATTTGGTCCTTCAGGTACATGGACAAACAGCCGAACAAGCCGAGCCCGGGACGCCACCGGCGTGGTGTTAAAGACCTGCGACACCCACTGATCCCAGAGGGTCCAAGTACTCCCTATTATAGGACCCTATAGGGCCTTTTTGGGTACCAAAAACCATAAATAGGAACTACTTGGAGCATTAGGGGATCAAGGAAAGAGTTAGAATCATAATTGTTTAGCAACCCCTTGGAGTTTTCTTTCAAGAAAAGCCGAAACAGGCTAAGGATGCTAAAGTTAGACTGCCACATTAGTGTCTAACCCTTCGTAAGGCTTGTGAATTCAAACTTCGGTTTCGGTTATTCCAGCTCCAAGCCTTTGCGCAATAGTAAAGGACTAGTTCGGGTTATAGGGTTGAGGGCTTATCCCTTTTTGCCGTAACTATAAACACTGAACCCAACTTCAAGCGCAGGGCTTAAGGCTTAGAGTTTGCAGCTGGGCCGGCTTCCAATGCAACTCGCTGACATGGTTCGGCAGGGCCCTCGTAGCATGGCAGGCACCATGGCTCCAGATCCTAAAGGGGTTAGGGGTTCTTTTTTTAAAGTTGATGTGCACCCTTTCTCCAAGAAGCGCTGGCATTTTAGGGGTTTCCGGGCTTAGGGTTTACTTGGTTTGGCTTGGGGTCTAGGGTTTAGGGTTCAGAGGGAGTTTGGGGTCGGAGGTTGAACCGGAATCCGACACACTGAGATCCTAGCGTTCCTCCCTGCCATAGAGCTCCCAAAGTTCGCAAGCCCTTGGTAGAAGTGTGGAGATGCCATCCCTCATTCCCAAAGCCTGCTGTGTGCCAGATCTAGAATCCTGAAATGTAAACTTCTAAGCCCTAAACCCTAAACCCCAAACCCTATAACCTACACCCTGAATCCTGAACCCGAAACCCTAAACCCTGCTGAGACAGCCTGGTGCCTATACCAGGGTCCTGAACATGGATCCTGCTGTTTGAGGCTGCGGAACCAAGGGTGTCTTGATCAGGTTCCTGCCTTTCAGAAGGGTTCAGTGTGCAGCGTTCTGGGCGTTGGTCTGGGAGTTTAGGGTTATACATAGGAGTTCAAAGATTTAGGGCTGAGCACCGCTCGTGCCTCCACCTTCCAGCAAAGCACGTAGCAGACTGCCTGGCAAACAAGCTTGACGAGACCAAATACTATCAAAGTTGATGCGGAGGTTATAAAGAGGGAAACCTGAAGAAAGCCATTATCAACGACTGCGCAAGACAGCACGGAACCTTCATGTTGCAAAAAAGCCCTGCGCGTAGTGGGCTGGCTTGTAACCGCAGTTTTTTGAAGACCCTGTTAATGCGTGCACGAAAGCCATCACCACTAGTTCTACTTCTGGTCCTGCACGTTTTCCTCCCTAACTAATTAAGCCTCTTGTCACTTGTCACTATCAGCACGTAGGTGGGACTGTGGGGACATGGAGAGCCTGCGAAGACCTGTGACCTCTCAAAGTGCACGTCTGCTTAAACCATGGGTCTTATTTAGCTTTGTTGTTGCCCAAGCTGCTGCTCTATATTGATGCTGTCGTCGTTACCAGTGACTTACGAATGCCGATTATGTGTCTCTCTTGTTGCCGGTGTCTTTTCCTGGTTTGCTCAGTCGGACTTGTGCTGTCAGTCATGGCCAATGCCTTACACAGCCTAAACCGTCACCCTCACCTTCGCAACTAGCGGCTCGTACTGCAAGATCTTGATCTCGGGGTTTGGTGGTTTAGAACCCGAAACGCCCCGAAAAAAAAGCCTGCAACCCGAGTCTTTCTTCCTCAATCCCACGCCCCGAATCTCTGGGAGCCCAAGACCTAGCAAACCTTTCAAGATAGTACAGGGCCCTTATGTATATAATAATTAGAATTGTCCACCTGCCTAACACATGCTGCCCAGAGCCTATCCAGCATCCCATGCAGGATGACAGCATCCCATGCAGGATGATGACGTATCATCAGTGGCATACGCGGCCCCTTTTCTATGCAAAAGGGCCAAGTGCGGAAGCTGCGAAATGAGACATATTTGGTCTCGTGAAGCCAGCTCGATACAGATGGACCAGTTCCATCGAAGCACGTGTGAACACGCACGAAAAATCCGAGACAGATTTGAAACACTTCCAAAAAGCTTTCCAATATGGTAAGTCTGCGCTGCAAGCAAGAATCAGTGAAAGGCTTTAGCCAGTGAGGCAGGAAGCTCAAGCGATGCCTGCTTGGCAGCGCGTTGTTGAGGCACAGTCAGCAAGTGAAGTTGCTTCGAAACTCTGCCATGCTTGGCATATCGTCGAACAGACTCAAAGGAAGCCCAACAACCACGTTGCTGTATGTCCTGAAGAGTACGGTAAGACATCAGATAATCATGACTGGCGCCACCATGTCTCAAACAGTGGGGTGACAGTTTCAACTTCTGAAGCCCGAGGTTCACAATGGAATTTTGGAACTGCTTCTCAAACTGTGCCAAGGTGAAGGGAAACAAGCAGCTGCAGGACATCTTGGTGTGAAGCACAAATATGCGACCAAGGAGTGGGCCAACCCACTCACGACCAGCTGAGCCCACAACCAAACTATCATTGAACACCCCAACCTTGGAGGGTTCTTCCAGTTCATGTGGATGCAGCAGCAAAGTCCAGAATGAGTATCGTTTGCTAACTCCCTTCGCAGGTGGTATAACGTTGTCCGCTGTCAAACTGCACAGGCGACCAGGTCGCAAATAGGTATCAAAGCACAAGACAACAGCAGCAGCAAAATAGGGCAATCCCCGAAGTAGCATATCAAAAGCAATCCAATATGCAACCTCCAGTGGACATGGATCTCTGGAAGAGCCGGGTTCAAGATTGCCCCAACCACGCTTGGCAGCTTTCGTCATCGGATAATTTGTTCTGCATGATGTAGGCCATACGGGATACTCGATATTGCAATTCTGCAAGGCACAAGTGACGACATACTTCGAGGCGCCATCGAGAAACTGTTGTTCTGCAAAGCCCTCCAGTGCGGCATCCAATTGCGTCATACTCACAAACCGAGCACGATCAGTTGGAAGCAACCCTGCAGCTACGCAAAAAGTCATGAAGGAACACCATGCATCGCTGTATGTACGCCGCGTGGCGGCCTTGCGGATCTTGGCTCTGCGAAGAAAACCAGAACTCGTATCGTTAACCTTTGACGCTCGCTGCCGAGCCACTTCAGCCTTGGACTTTTGGTTCCGTGCCCCATTCATCGATGATTGTGAGCGCTCGCCATCTCGACGGGCATGGCTTGATGACTGGGGTACGCGTTTCAAGGCCAGTGATTTGACGAATTTCATCGCACCATCCCGAAAGCACCAAAGGTTCCCTATCTGACCTCAACGAAGAGCTTGGACAGACATGCCGCAAAAGTGAAGCCCAATGGTGGCAAAGCTCCCCAGAGTATTCTCCAGCGACGACTGTTTTCCAAAACCACTTTACAGAGCCAGACTGAGTACGAACCTTTATTCTCCCTCTAAGGTGTTCATGCTGACCATGATTGCAGTGACATCTCCGACCAAGACCAACCAAAGCAGGGTGATTGCTGACGACAATAGTGGGTTTCCTATATGGGCAGCCGTATCTGCAACAGTCGAACTCAACCACACGAGCGTCAGCATGTTCGAGGGCACTGCGAATCGCGCTCAGCTTGAATAACCTTGAGGACTTTGGGTTCTCGAGAGAAAACCATATACCCAACTTCGTACATACCCTGATGAGTTCAGCGCTGAATCGTGCCAGCTCCAGAGAGATGGTGTATCGTGCGCTCTTACTACCACCAGTGTTGACGACTCTGAAATCAGTACATGGTGTGCTCATGTGTAGGTACCAGATGCGACCGGAATGAAGCCAAGCGATGATCAACTTCTGGATTCTCTTGTCAGCAAGGTTGAACTGCGGCCCATTAGCGACATCGAAAGGGGTCGCAACTCTGATCCCCTTCTGAAGAATCGCGGACGTGAGCTGGTTAGACCCACAAAACAACTCTAGAAAACTCTGCCCTTGAATAGGAGTGCTGCTGCATGTTTTCGCAGACCTTGATATTGGCATCGCAGCCGCTTCATGCTTCGGGAACAACTGGGCTGGGACATCCCGGCCCAAAGAGGCGCATCGGCCCCCTCCGAATTTTTCACACTCGCAACCACATCTGCAGCAATAAGCCGACGTGAGCATCCTCGACCAGATCTCGCAGTAGAGGCTTCAGAATCGAAACCCCCCTTCGCTCTTATTGGAGAACCCAGCAAAGTTTGGTCAGAATCATCAGCTGCTGCAAGGCCGAGCTTGGAACCATGCATCGCTCTTCGTTTGGAATAACTGAAGACCCGTGAATCTTCATCCGAAGGATTGCGAGCCGACTCAACATACCTCAAGTGTCAGCGGATCCGGGTACAAATCTGCAATGCACTTGCTCGACGACACAGAGCCAGCAAGCTAAAGTCTTTCGCTCGCCCTTTATCAAAGGCACAGACAGCAGCAAGGTTATCGCACAGGCACAGCAAGCGCTTGCCGTGGGTGCGGTGATCCTTAGCCGCGCGTCGTAGCCCCATCAATGCAACCCGGCCTTCTTTCATATGAATGGCCTCTGAGTGCTTCCATAGCCTCTTGATGACTGTCTGCCATCGGGAGGGCGCAAGTAAGGTGTCTGGCAGTTTCGGAACCAAACCAACCAAATCTATGGACTGAAAGCGTCTTGAGTGTTTGTTGGCCCGACCATCCTCAGCGGTACCAGCCTCAAGCTGTCCAGTGGAGGGATGGGGTATCCCTATACGGTCACAAAGCCAATGAACATATGCCAAATCTGGCATCTCAAAGTCAGCGGACCACCCATGATGCGAACCTAAACCAACACCGATGCCTTCTTCAACTTGCACAAAGCGCCAGCGTTCATGGAACCTGAACAACTCCCTCTGTTCGGCAGCCGTTGAAGGTGACACTTGCACACAGTAGCCATATGAACTGGAGTCACCACAATAAATGACATCATTGTAAGGCGCAGCCATGTCGACCTCAACCTGCGGGATTAACCCTACGATTATGCGCAGCTCACGCTTCACTGGCCCTGGCAGAATATGTGCTTTTCCATCCAGCCAGCGGTATATGAACTTGTAAACGTGATGCAGACAACTAAGCCCTGGCCGGCAGATCGAGAAGAAATGAACGATGTGACCAGCAATCATTCGCAATGCCTCTGAAGTCACCTTCTTCAGTCGAAGCAAGTGTTTCAGGGCCAGGTACAACCGCCACGTTCGCTTCTTTGAGTGCCTGATCTTCATCTCCCGGGTGTGCAACACAATCCCCACGTTCGAAATCTCGTGAAGGCCCCGCTCGAGCTCATGCAGCACGAAGCCTGCCCGCTCGAGGTGTTCAACCGCTTCATCAAATGAGTGGTGCACCATCCTTTCGACAAAGCCAAACACACCAATATTGTCAACGTATACACTGCCAATGGGGAACCTGGCGCGGATCAGGAGCAGGAAGGCCCTCTTTCACAAAGCGCGCCGGAGGAATGCTCTTGCTCATGCCATACTCGACGGCCGTGTTGCAGAGATGCAATGCCCAAGCCCATCCTTGCGGCATCCCCGTGAAGACTGGGAACAGCTTCTCATTAGGCTCAACGTTGACATAGCATTGTGACGCCGCACACCAGACCTGGCTGACGTTGAACTCCGAAGCAGTGACGGGATCGTCTAGTCCAAACCATTCGGCCAGGGGCCACACGCTGAATTGATAGAAGGCATCACTCACATCAGCAGTATCACCAAACAGGGCGGTAGGTAACTCGACCAACCCACCACAGTTGTGAAGAGGACATGCCAAGTCAGGTCCCTCCATAAAAGCGTCGACCTCGCTCAGGGCTGTGGCTCCTCCAAGGCGGGTGCGAGGAGGGGAGCGATGACATGCGTTTGTCATCCTGGCATCCACTATCATTCTGATGCCTTTACGACTGGCCTTCCAAACGAAGAACAATCCAACCTTGGCAGAGATAACCTTTCTGAAACTGAGCAATGACTTGCGATGCAGCTGTCGGTACAGGTCCATCCGCAGGGAACGATCTCGCCGCAGTGACTCATCCCAATAAGGCTGAAAGCTGCTATTCTGCCTTGTCCAAGCATCAATCTCAGACTGATTCCTCACAATGTGACTTAAAGGGTCCAGTAAGTACTCTGCTTCGGTTGGTGGAAGCAAACTTGTGGCTTCCTTAGGAACTGTCTCTGACTTGGTGACCTTCAGGAGGTCAGGGTTGTAAGGAGCAACTGTCGTCGAAGACAACGAATAGAGGTCCTTGGACTTCAAGATGTCTTGAAAACAGTCCTTCGGATTCATGCCAACGGGGCACCCTCCCATGTTTCTGACACCGGATGCCAGCCTCTTCAAAGCTGAGGCCTGTGCGCGGGTAGGAGTGCCAGTCGACTGATGCCCATCTACAAAAGCTCCTCGCCTGGCGCTGACTGCGGAAGCTGCAGCCATACTATTGAGGCTGGTGACGGCCTCCGAGATTCTGCCGGTCTGTCTGCGACTGAAACCCGAAGACTCATCGTCAACACCAGTGAGGGCAGAGGAGGTACGAACCCTTCGCCTTCTCCATCGCAGAGCCGGCAGGGGGAACAATTCGTCTTTACCACCTCTGTGATGTGAATTCGCATGCAGAGATCCAGGGGCATGATTGACATTGCCGCCCCCCTGAAGGCGGCCATCGGAGGGATTCATGATGCTTGGGCGACCTCCGATGGGCCGCCCTTCTTCTTCTTCTTCTTGCTCTTCTTTCCCCCAGATGGGTCCGCCTCCTCGTCATCATCCTTGTCCTGATTGAACCGACCAGCACGACGCCGTTCACTGGCTTGCTCTTCGCGCCACTCCCTGGTTGACTTCAAAGTCTTAGCCTCAATCTTCTGCTGCTCTGCAATCCACTCGGCATAGCCACCCGCCCTTGCTCCGCCGACCTCATCAACCGTGCCACGAGTGTTGTAGTCAAAGGCATCAAAGGTCGGGTGCTTCGGATTCCGACGGACAGCGACTTGGATCTCCAGCAAGCGTCTAACAACCTGCTCGATGCATGCAAGATTACTGCAATCAACTTGATCATAGCTGACGGCGAGCTTGAGGATGGAGATGAGATTCTTATATTCGTGGGCAGCTGCACTGTTGTCCGAGAGCCCTGACTTTCGAAGAAATGAAGCATGATACGTTGTCAAATCTCCACCGTTCTCAGCCACTGACTCCAAGAACTCCCGAACTGCCTTCGGTCCACGATGCGGCGAATCATCGAATTTGCTGTCACTCATCTTCTCCAGGGCACGCGTCAAGGTAAGCTGTCGCTTCCCCGACGCAAGCTTCTCACATGCCATCAACCTCAAGTCTCCTGCGTCGCCGCCTGGCAGACCTGGCCGTTTTCTCTCTTTCCATGCATCGAAATCATTGACAAGCTCAAGGCTGACCAATGCGTCACCAAGGAGATGCAATCGCTTTTGCTGGTCACCAACTATCAGATGCACGTTGCCAGTGGGGTCTGTCAGATCACCAGGAGGCACGATCTCACCGAACCTCTTGGAATCAACATCTGCCACCCGCCAGGCCCCAGATTGAGCCGCTGGAGGACCAGCCGCGACACCTGGCCTGTCCAAACACCCACGCACCGTAGCCAAAGTTTCAGCCTGCTGTCGTAGGTCTGGATATTCGGCCATCAGGTTCGCGTTGTTGGGAACGTACATCTGACCCGCATAACCGGCAGGATAAGGGCCGTTTCTAGGCAGAGGCAAGACCGTGACACCATTATAATCTTCTTCGTACACATCACCATCCGGTGATGAGATGATCCAGACTGAGCGGTCCACTCGGAACCACAAAATCCGATGGTGATAGTCAAGCCCTTGAGCGTCACCTGGAAACTCCACTAGCATTTGCATCTCTGGGATGTCCAAAGTTCTCTGGCCACCCGCCATACTCACGCTGCCACGCCTCGACGAGCTCGAGATATCGAGCTGTCAGTAGAAGCGGGAGAAATGGGCAATGCAATGGGCTGAGATCGCTTAATCACTTGCACAGGGATGCGCACGAAATACCCAAGTACCAGACCAACTGTGAGAGTGCAGGTAAGCAGTATCACAAGCCACCACAATCCAACTGGAGCAGTAGTCGACTGCCCCTTGGTAGTAGAAGTAGTAGTGGTATACGTATTGGGACCTGCTAAGGAGGCCTCAAAGCAAGACTGCACCAGATCCTTGACTATCACAGCACAAGAATCCAAATCCGATCTGCTCGCCTCACAATGACACCTGCACTCGGAAGGAGGATTTCCCTTGGTCCACAGTAACAGGTGAGATGCCCAGTTAAGCACCTGTGCGTAAAGACCGAAGGGACTGCCCATGTCACTTTCTCTACCCAGGAATCACTTGAGTACGGAAGATGCGGGCAGCGACTCAAGTTGGATGAACAAACTCAAAGGTCAAGGTGAATAGTGTTTTTGGGGCCCATTGAACTATAATTATCATAAAGAACTCCGAACAAGGGAAACAATAATTATTTAAGCCCCTGTAGTAGTGGGCTCTACCCTGCAAACCCCAAGGCCGAGAGAGCCTGCAGGACGGCCAAGAGGAAGTTCACCCTCAGCTGTTGGGAGTTTCATGGTTTGTTGGTGAAGGGTTTAGGGTTTAGGGGTTTTGGGGCTTGGAGGTTTAGGGTGTAGGGGTTTAGGGGTTTAGGGTTCAGGGGTTTAGAATTTTAGGGTTTAGGGGTTTCGGGTTTGGGGCTTACCAGGAATGCAAGCCTAGGGCTGAATATTGAGGATTTAAAGCATTTGATTTAAGGATTTTTGGAACTTGAGGCCAGGTATAGAGGTTTGGTTTACGGTCTACGTCTTTTCGTTTGCTGGTCAAGGATTTCGAGCTGCGGATTCAGAGTTGCACATGGCTGCAACTGCCAACAGGGCTTAATGGGGAATCACCGTGGTCGGTGTAATCGCTGAAGCCTCCTTCGGCCCTCACCCCTCAACCCTTAACCCCTATACCTAAACCCAAAGCCCTAAAAGATCCTTCCAAAGGACGCCGACAAAAAATTGAACCCCCCCCCCGCCCCCCGCCCCCCGCCCCGAGCCAGGGCGAGAGCTGAAACTCGGTGGGCTGACCCGCCTCTGCCGCCTGCGGGGGCACCAGAAATCGCTGTTCTCCTTGTGTTCCTTTAAGCGTTCGTTAAGGAGGTCCTTCAAGAGGGCCTTCAGGGCTTAAGGTCTGAGGTTCAGGCGTGTTGCTTCTTGTAGTTCTTTTGGCGCTTCTAGATTCTAGGGATTTCTTTTATGTTTTACTGGGATGTACCGAGACTTGAAGCGGGCTTGAGGGCCTGCAAGGGAGGCTTCGAGGGCTACGGGTGAACATGGATTTGCAGCGACACTGTAACCCTGACAGCCCTCAACCCTAAACCTGAAACCTTCAAATCCTTAAACCCTTACCCTAAAACCCTCAAACCCGAAACCCTAAACCCTGAACCTCAAACCCTAGACCCTAAACCCTAAACCCCAATCCCTAAACCCTAAAGCCCCCAAGTGCCAGAGCTTCGGGTGGCCTGAAAAAGCTCTCGCGCCAGTCGGGAAAGGTGCCTGCCGAAGCAGACTCGGAACGGTTGATGATATAAATCCTGCATGACCCATAATACCATAATTCCCATAGTTTTGTCTCCTTAATTAAGTTACATAATAGGGAATATACCATAATTTCCATAGTTTTGTCTCCTTAACTAAGTTACATAATAGGGAATATACCATAATTCCCATAGATTAGGTCCTTAAGGTAATGTAGGATTTCTATCATCAACCGAAGGAGGGCTGCAGGCTCTTGGGCTCTTGGGTGTTACCTGGACCCCAAAAGTAAGTGGGGTTACAAGGGTTCCTTTAAGGGTCCCCTTAAAGGGCCTCTATGGGTTTAGGGTTTAGGGATTACCTGGACCCCAGAAGTGTGTAGAGTAATGGCCATTTTTAGGTTTGGGGCCATTATTTTACCTACTCTCGGGGGATTAGGTACAGCTTAGGTATAGTCGTGTAGGGTTTAGGGCAATGTAGGGTTCAGGGTTTTGTGAGCACAGCAAAAGGCCTGAAATTCATCCCCAAAGCCGAACCCTAAAGGGTACGCCAGTATGAAATCGCAATCAACCGAGGAGGGTTCATTAATTACTATGAGCTTAACATTGAATCTCTAAATCACTATCCCAAACCCCTACGCCAAGGCTAAGCCCCTCGCTGAGTCGACGCAAGCGCGTACTGGGCGGGGAGATCCTTCGACCTGACGATGAAGGACGCCACGTACCTTGCTGCTAGTTCTGAGGCCTTTAAGGCTACTGTAAGGGCTTCTATAAGCCTAAACTCTGAACCCTAAACCCTAAACCCTAAACCCCTAAACCCTAAACCCTAAACCCGAAACCCTACATATAAGGGTACTATATAAGGGTTTAGGGTTCACCCCTAAGGGTCGAACGTACCCCCTATCATGGGCCTCGAGGCTTGGGGGGCTTGGGAGTTTAGGGCTTAGGGGTGTTGGGGAGTTCTACGGGCTCTAGGTTTTAACTTGTTGGGCTGAGGGGTTAGGGGGTTTAGGAGTTAGAGGTTGAGGAGATTGAGGGTTTGGGGTGCCCTAAAAGTTGTGCGATGAATTATGGTATATTCCCTATTTTGGGGTTTAGGGTTTAGGGTTCATTACCTTAAGGACCCTAAAGTATGGGAATTATGGTAGGTTAGAGGGTGTTGCTTTGAGGCAGGCGGCTGCCAGATAGAGTTTGGAATCTTGAAAAGTCTTCGACATGCTCTTTTCAGGCACCCTCGGCCCAGCACAGCCCAAGCCATTGGTTCATTTCGGGCTTGCGGGATCTGTAGCCCAAAACCTCTAAGCCGAGTTTGGGGTGCAGGGTTGAACTTGAAAGATTTGAGTTCCTAAGCTCTAACGCTGTTAAAGTTTTAGTACAGGGTTAATTGGGGGCTCAAGCGTTTTGGGTTTGGGGCTTTGAGTTGAGTCGATGCTTGCGCTCCAACTTCAAATTTCGTTTTAGGCCCTAAGCCCTACGCCCTAATTAGACCCTAAACTACCCTGGCACATTATATGTGTTTATGCATGTGTATGTATGTATATATACATCAATGCACCCGGACCAGGGACCGCACCAAAGCGCCAAGATGCGTCGCTCCAGCATCTCGACAAAGCCATAGGCTTGAAGGGTTCAGTGTTGTGTTTTTTGCGGACCGGGGACGGGCGGTCAGGGTTGCTCTTAGTCTTACACCCTAGAACCCCAAACTCCAAGGCGAGGAACGGCTTCACAGCATTCACATTGAGTTCTTTTGCGGGCAGACGGCATTGAAGAGAGGTTGGCCTTAGGGTTTATGGGGCTTGGGGCTTAAGTATTTTAGGGTTGAAGGTGCAGGGTTTAGGGTTTGAGACAAGAGCAGGGATATAGCAACGACAAGGAACAGACGGTGATCAACGCCAGCATCACCACCACCATCACCACAACATGATGATACGGCAACCATGTCACCCTCATGATAGTACCAGCAGCATGCTACCAAGACTAGGACCAGGCATACCATTATACCATGGCTACAATAAGGTAACACCCTTAAGTGCTGCTTGGCTTAATGAACGAGCACAGAAGCTCATGGACCAACAGCCAAACACATAGTAATTACTGCTAAATCAGCACGACGAATGATAGTGACCTCGCAACAAAAATACCGATAGCAACGAACGTGATATTTAAGGAAGTAGCAATCAAAGGTCATGAGCAACGTCATCCCGAAGCCCTAAACCCCAAACCCGAAATTAACCCTGAACCCTAAAACCCTAAAACCCTAAACCGTATCACCGAAACTAACCCTGCACCCTAAACCCTAGCTCCCCCAAAAAAACGTATCACCGAAACTAACCCTGAAAGCCCCAAACCACATCACCGAAACTGACCCTAAACCCTAAAACCCTGGACCGTATCATGGTGGCAAGGGCCTCCCGTGCGTTGTAGGCCACCTGGAGGAGAACTGCCAGGAAAGCCTTGCCAACTGAAGTTCTGGGGACTGCTTAGAGGCCCAGGGGGCCTACTCTGGGGTTCCTTAAAGGGATCTATAGGGTTCCTTAAGGGGATCTATGGCGTTTAGGGTTTAGGGTTTACTCGGAGGGGCAGGGGACTTAGTAAGTATAGGTTATACGTTTACCCTACATGGAGTTGTCCCAATTATAACCCTACGTATAATCGACTTACTAAGTCCCCTGGGCCTCTAACTGGGAATGGATTTTGGCCCTTATTAGCGATCAGGACTCAGTTTCTTAGGGGCTGCGGCTGAGTATCCTAGCCCCCAAGCAGGTTATAACCTTTTGAACTACAGTAGGATTATGCAAGGCCCAAACGGTTAAAGGTTACCTACCTGCTCAATATCACACATTCTGCTCACAGGGTTGCAGGGTTTCGAGTGCTGGCTTCCGTGTTTTGTAGTTCGGACTTTCGCTGCAGAACGATGACCCTATCCGAAACCTCGTGGGCAAAATGTATCGTACATCCTCGGTGAGGTGTGGGCTTGGGGTGAAGGGGCCTATGCCTCAGCAGACTAAGCTGAAGACCTCCGACCTCCTACTCAACCAAAAAACTCTAATTTCTGGGTTGTAGTTTTGGGGGTCCCTAAAAGTACTTGTGAACAGCTACCTCTAATTATAGAAACCACAAGGGGAATTTTAAGGCTTTCCGAAAGTGCCACCTAGATAAGTCTGAACCCTGAACACACTAAACTCTGGACCCGAAGCCGTAAACACCACACCATACTTAAAGGATCATGGGACTTAGTAAGTAGGGTTATTAGTAGGTTATATTTAGGATAACCCCACTTAAGGGACTTGTAACCCCAGTTATAACCTACTTACTAAGTCCCATGATCCTCTAAGTACAGGTAGCAGCCTTAGTAGCAGCTGTTCTGCTGCCG